CTCACTCAAAATGGCACCTCAGTATAGGAGCCTGCCTGGCTTTTCTGAAATAAAAAAACAGTATGAAGAAAGCCACTAAAGAAGCAAAGATCAGCACATGCACAGTGAGGCCAAACAGTCAGCTGGATGAACAGAACCAACATGTGGAGTACATGAAAAAAAGATCTTGGAAAGGACAAGAGAGACCAGTAGCCCTGACACCAATAGTACGAGGAGAGCAAAGATTAATATAAAACCAAAGAAAGAAGCACGTGCCTGGTAAAAATCTTTTAAAAAAAATGGCAGCAAAAAGAGAGGTTCTGCCTCCGTTGGGGGCCTGACAGCTGAGTGGACAGCGCTTTGGATTTGTAGTCTTGAGGTTCTGGGTTCGATCCCTGGTGGAGGCAGAAACAAATGGGCAGCGTTTCTTTCACCCTGATGCTCCTGTTCACCTAGCAGTAAATAGGTACCTGGGAGTTAGACAGCTGCTACGAGCTGCTTCCTGGGGATGTGTACTAAAAAAGAGGCCTGGTCAAGGACAGGGCCGCAGGGACTCTAGGCCCCGAAATCATCTCAAGATAACCCGCCAAGGTCGACTAAGACTGGATGGCAATACAGTACAGGCAGCCACAATTAAAACAAGAGCCAGGGTAGAAAAAGCAAAACCTATAGCTACCACCACAAAGGATGAATGCAAACAAGAACAGACAGGAGGCCCACAAAGCCATCACAAAGACACCAACATGGTACCATGAAGCCAGTCATCCGACTCTTACCTGGAGAAGGTTCTGGGAGTTCTGCTCCCCAAGCCCAGCCTGAAGCCAGGCTCGACTTGTCATAATGTGGTCCAGCAGGCTGTTGCTTGGAGCAGCCTGCAGACCCACATATCCACAACAACTCAGTTGGTCAGACACTTCCTGCAAGAACCTATCTAAGTGCTCGTTGAGGACATCCACTTGAACTCTGACACAGGAGATAAGATACAAAGCCAAGAATACAATAACTACGAAGAACCTAGAACTATTGAGGCTGGACTTGCCACCGACCAACAGGAAGAGGAGAGCCTGGGTAGGGAAGGAGTTTTAACATTGAATAAGAAGACATGGTAATTAGGGCTGAACTGGTTTTATGAAAGCCCAGAGAAGAAGAGATCCACACAGGGGCCCCAACCTCAACAAGGGCATCAGAAGATGTACCAGGGAAAAAGGGAAAGATAAGCTACCAGGCCAGGTGAAATGTGCCATCCCAAATGTCACGCAGTCCAGACACGGCACCCATAAGCAGATGAGGATTGCCAAATTGCCATAACTGTTGAAATAGATGGAAAGGAAAACTGACCACCTGAACAGATGACACCATGAGAGGGAATAACACCAAGAACCATAGATCGAGAAGCCAGTAGGAAAGCTACCCTCAGAGACCAGCCCTCACAGGGACAAGAAATGAACCAAATATTACCCCTTTTCCCCTCACCACGACAAGGAAACACAATGGAGGGGGTTCTTTTCCCAGAGAGGCGACAAATTGACTGGCACACAATCTGAAAAAAAAGACAGAGCAAAACCCCGCAGGTGACAAATAAACTGAAGTGTCAGTTTTCCCATACTGTAAAGTGTGCTCAACATTAGTGTCAGAGCATTTACCCTATAGTAACAATTGAGTGCCTTGGTTGCCTAATTAACTTCAAGCAGTTATTTGTTTTGCTGCACATATATTCTAGTAGATTTTTCTAATTTTGTGGTTGATCTTCGAACACCTACTCCCTATAGGATAGGTCCTATAGGTTCCGGTCCAGGCTTGCGGACCTCAATTACCTTGAGGTGGTTCAAAATACCAATAACCTCGCAGCCTGGCCCCCGACCAGGCCTCCTGGTTGACGGTCTGGTAAAACAGGCTGCTAGATGCTGCTGCTGCTCCCAGTCTGATGGATGAATTGTAGCCCAGTTGTTTATAAAGTTCCCTTCTGAACACTGTGAGAGGTTGGCTAGTTATACCCCAGCATAAAAGTAGAGTTGAAAAGTCTTGGGATCCCAAACGTGGAGAGAATTGTCTCTTAGTGTACACAGTTTTGGTGTGTTGGGCTAATGCTTGGTGGTACCAGAGTTAAGATCAGGAAGCTACTGGGGTACCTCCAAAATAGGTACTGTATATGATAATACCTGTGCAGTACTATGTACACATAAGGTAACCCTTACAGAATCTTAAATACAAACAAATAATAATTTTAATATAACAAATGCAGTATAAAAAAAATCAATGCAAATAATTAATCATGCAAATTAAGTATCCACTGAATATATTTCACCTTTTCCACGAGTTAATTATTTCCAGAAAAGCCATAATACTGATGGCAGAATGATATACAAGACCACAGGGCCCCAATCCACCCTGCACACTAAAACATCTAACTTACCTTAGATGTTATTCAGTGAACCACTGGCCTAAAATTGTGGCTTACACGGCTTAATGTTATGTAAAATTTGGTGTAGGAATGTGGACACCACGCTGTCCACCACCACTGGTGCACGCAGCACTGTGTTCACCATGATAAAAGTACACAATACTGTATCATGCCAGAGGCAATCTTTTCATGAAAGGCTAAGAATTCCTCCACTCCATGAAAGTGAGAAATGATGTAACTGCAATGGGTTGCTACATAAAAGCTTGTGCAACACAAGCCCTCTTCCAATGTTACCATTTGAAATATTATTAAATAAAATTGTTATTAATTACTCTGATAAGAATTCATAACAAAATGTAACAAAGCTTCAGAAAACCCTAAATGACATATAGATATGAAAATGTGAAGGAAGCCTACATTAACTTGAATATCTCATCTCGTCTAACTTTAAAACCCTTGTCGAGTGCTAAGACTCAACATTTTCAAGGAATAAAACATATTGTCTTTCAAAATGTTCAAATTGGAAATCCCCAATAAACATAAAGCAATTGTTCACTTGTTCCTTGTTATGCAATATATAACCCAAAGTTCAATGATTTCTCCTGATAAAAACAACATTAAGATAAATGTATCTTGATATTGGTCTGAGAAAATATCGTACATTCCTTGAACAGTACACACTTCATGTCAAATATGAAGGCGAGTCAGTAAATAAAATCCAGCTTTACTTCAAAATTACAGTTTACACATAAGGGTGTTCAAAATTGTGTTCTCTCAGATGTAAAAAAAAAATGGTACCCAGCTGAACTGAAATACTTCTTATAACAAACATGAAGTTAAATGGCTGAAAAAAAAACAGTATATTAGAGTAGGCTTAAATGCTTGGACTGATTATATTTTAATTGGGTTCAGATTTTATATAGGGCTAGAATCTTGCAATTATTTAGTGCTGGAAAATCTTGGGAGATGAAATTGTACCTGGTGAAGAGTGCCGTGGAAGCCCTCAGGAGACCATGGTCACATGGACCTGTCGTGACCAACAACGGTACTGGCATTATCAGTGGTACTAAACGTACAACTTCCCATAATTCTCTCCCATTTCTCTAAGTGCCTAATATCACATACAAAATATATTTATGTTTTTATATTTCATTCCAAGACCAATGGCACATTCTTCCAGATGTAATACAATAGTTAGCATCATCCAGGTCTCGCATTATAAGGTGTGCTTTGGAAATGCAAGATTTCACACCACCTGTATAACATAAGATGGTTTGAGGATTATAGCACAGGCTTAACCACACTTGGCTAGTATTTGGTTTGGTCTCATGAAGGATGAACCAAGTGGTAAAAACTGTGTGTTACACAAGGATGTTAATGAAGCAATTCAATTGTGGCCACACATAAGAGGTGTACACATATAAGAAGTCGAGTAAAGAGCTACAGCTCTTTACTCTACCTCTCGGCCTTCAATCAACTGGTGCACAGGTTCCCAAGTATTTGAGCTCTTGTTATATCTATATTTGGAGCTGTGTATGGAGTCTGCCTCACCACTTCTGTGGAAAACTAATTTTGAAGTCTGAATCGGGTACTTATATTTCTGTTTCCCACTGTTTGTGTTCTACTCATTGCAAATAATCTCTTGGTCTCCCCTGTCAATTTCCCAAAGAATTAAATTAGAAAATTAATTATGTACTATAATCATGTCTCTTCTAACTCTTCTGTCTTCCAGAGGTGTGAAGTTTAATTCCTTGTCTTTCCTCATAGGTACATCCCATGGGAAGGGAGAAGGAATTAGCCAAAGATTTTTGAACTGTTCATCTGCATTCCCTCAGCAGTAATTATGGATCTGGTTTTAAAATGGTTAGCAGATTGTATTCCAGGGAATAGTAGTAGGGGTAAAGCTTTAGATAAGCCGTGGGATGGAGAGCTCTATACTTGCTACCGTACGTTGGACGTCAACTCCTCTTATATACCAGCCTATATACATCCATGTATTCAATGAAATGTTATCGGTATTGCAAATGCAAAATTACACCGATACCACTGATAGCGATACATCGGTACACCTCTAGTTGCATATTCCAAAACAGTTTTGTACTGTATGTATCAAGGTGATTCTAAAATGACAAATCCACCTCATTCCTCAAGGACTATTTTGAAACATACAACAATTATCGTGTGGTTCAATAAAGAGCGGTACACAACAATACAGTGCTATTCACACTTGTCGTAAAATGGTAAAAATTTACCTTGCCTTAAAGAATTGCACTCAAATGCTGTATATGTACACAGGATGCAGCACATATGAAAATGCCCACTCCAACTTATTTCCGATTAGGTGAAAACACTTGTCATATAACAATTGAGTCGTAAACAGAAGCTCCGCACATGTTTCGTGCACTCGTCAAAACATTCCTCTTTATAAAGGAATTGGATCCATACATTTTTCTGAGTGGCAAAGAGTGACTTTTCCTAATTACCTGATTTAAAAAGAGAGTTAATACCAGTATAAATGGTACTCTATAATGCAACTTTCATTACTATTGATAAAATAAAAAATTAAAACATAAATCCTGAATAAAATAACAAAGATTTGGAATTAAAATAAAGACACTCCTTTACTTGTTTGACTTTGTAACCAGAATTTTGCATACATGACACATCTAAGGAGGAATCAATGGACCCATATCATAGTTCATTAAATCTTCAAACCTTGGCTTTTGTTTTGCTTTTTTCTCGGCGGGGCCATGCAGTTTGTCACCAACTTTAACATCAGTTGTAGTCTGAGGTGTGGTTCCCATTTTCTCACGTTCACGTTTCAATCCTGTTTGTGCTTTTTTCGTCTTTTGTATCATTTTATGTGATGGACTTTGGGTTTTTGTCAGTGCTTTTGAAGATAACTGTGCCCCACCTGCATTAGATTTTCTGTGGGAATGCGGAGAACTGTTTCCCAATGATAAAGGTTTAGGATTTCCTTTGGTAACGTCCCTTTCCTGTAGTCTCTCATTGGATTTTTCATCATTTTCATGGACAGAATCCCTGCATAATTTTTCTTTATGTTTTGCCTCCAGTGGTTTGTTTACAGTATTCTTCACGGTCATTTTTGTAGTCGTCTCGGGTATTGACTCTGGCACGGTAAGTGGGTCTCTTTTATCGGCATCAAAAGCCATTTTGTCACTTACTTTACTTCTTTCCTTTTCACCTTGAGAAGCTCCTTCCTTTAATATTTTATTTTTCAGATTCTTCTGTGGAGATTTTATGCTTTCTTGAGTATTTGGCAAATTTGCTTTATCATGTTGTCTCTTAAATTTTAATTTATTTTCAACAAATTTGACTTTTCTCTTAAATGCATTTAACCTTTTCTTAGATTTTAATTTATTGTGGAGGACATTCTCAGGGCTATTTACGGTTGACCCCGATGAAAACCGAGAAGCTTTGGCAAAAGATTTACGAGGAATTGGGCTTGCTTCACTCACGTGTAATGTGTCAGAGAAGTCGTCTCTGCTTTTAACATCGGTACTAGTCGATCCTTGCTGATTCAACACCATATCTTCTCTTTTAAAACACTCACTCACCAATTTCTGATTTTTCTGATTATCTTTCAACAATTCTTGATTACACTTCTTCAAATCCCCAAGTTCCTTTCCCAGTTTCTGCACCTTCCCAATTGTGTTTGAAATCTGGCGAGATTCAGGTTGCTCCTCATCAATAATAGGCTTTCTGCTATCTAATTTGATGGGCACCAGTTTTGCTTCTACATTCTTTTGCTCTTCACTTGGTTTTATAGATGTTCTCTTGCTGGCCATTTCATTTCTGTCAAGATTTTGGGTATTCTGTTTACTTTTAGACACTTGCCTCCTATCTCCATTATGTAACTTACCTTGAAAATCATGAACCTTTGCATCCATATTTTTAGCTTGATTGCAACTGGTTTTTCCAACAATATGCTTTGCTACATTTTTTGTATCACTTTCTGATTTGCTATTTCTTCTTATTTTAGACAAACTTGGATGACTTTCCGCTCCCTCTGCAGCTTTGTGCAAAATATCTTCCTTATCCCTGGCCTTAACATCCAATGCTTTTCCCCCAGAGGATTTTCTTCTATCTTCTTTAGTATCAGTTTCTGACTTACTGTTTCTCCTCGCTTTAGGCAAACACGAACGACTGTCTGCTGCCTCCGTAGCGTTGTGCGAGACATTTCCCTTCCCACTAGCACAAATGCCTACTGTTTTTTCACTAAGAATAGCAGATTTTCTTACATCTTTAGGTTCAGTTTCTGATTTACTATTTTGTCCTCCTTCAGGCAAACATGCAACACTACTACTTACCTCTGTAACTCCGAGAGAGAGGCTTTCATCACAATCATCATTACCTAATGTAGTTTCACCAACAGGTTTCTCTACATCTACTTTAATATCAGTTCCTGATTTATTCTTTTGCCTTCCTTGAGGCAAAGACGAATGGCTGTCCATCTCTGATGCTTTGTCAGAATGATTTTCCTCATTACTGGCACAAAAGCTTGCCGTATTTTCAATTGCAGTTTGCTGCTCATCATCAGTCTTGTATATTTCTGATTTAAGACTACTGACTGCAGCTGTAGCTTTGAGAGGAGTTTTTACTTCACCAGTTGCCAAAATACCTACTGTTTCTATACTAGCAGATTTTCCATCATCATCTTTAGCATCAGTTTTACAGTTTTTCTTTGCTTCTGGCAAACAAGGAAGACTGTCCCCTGCCTTAGTAGCTATGTCGGAGATGTTCTCATCTATGCCACAAAGGGATGTGGAGTCTTTCAATGACTCACAAGTTGTATGGGGAGTAATCTCCTCACTGCACCCTTGTGCAGAATCAACATTTGCTGCCATTCTTGAGGCATGCTTCTGCTCAAGATTTTTCTTCTTGTCATGTCCAGTCATTGGCCTGTCTGACAAACTAAGTGGTCTTTTACGAGACTTATATCTTCTACGGAAAGGTCTATTTACTTTTGGCCTTGACTTCTCTAATGTAGTAATCTTATTTTTATTATCTGACATTAGATTAGTGGCATTATCTGTAGATTTCTTATCTTTGGGCATGTCATTTTGTATATTCTTTTCTCTACTAATATTTCCTTCCAATTTTGTTGCTCTGCTAGAATCTATTGTGACGGAAAGAGGATCACTAACAGGAACATTTTTATCAGAATTTTGATCTCCCAGCATCAATGAACTGCCACTGGTCTTCATACGAATTATTTCACGTTTCAATTTTTGTACATCACCCGGATGCTTTTCTAAGTAATTGTGAAGTGAGCTTGCAGAAGCTACAACTTTTTCAAGTTCATCTTTCTGCAAAGGAACTGGTGATAACTGTTTTAGCCACTCAACAACAGTATGATCATCCTCTCCCAGCATCTGAGAGACCCTCCACATTGCATACAGAACACCATTGTTAAACTGCTTCACAGACAAGGGTTTAGCTCTTCCTTTCATCAGATCATCAATGTTTATAATTGTCAAAAAGTCCTCCCAATTTACATTTTCCCTATCATTTTCCAAGCAGTCTAATCGATCCTCCTGGTTACTCTCTTGGGGAGGACTTGATTCGATTGTGTGTGTGCTGCTCAATGTCACCCTTTTCATGCAGTCTAATTGATCACCTTGGTTGTTCTGCTGGGGCAGACCTAATCTATGCTGATTATCTTCAGTTATAATATTTGCACCTGGAGTTTGGTTATTAAAAATAAACACCTCTGGGGGTATGGCAGTACTTAGCTTGTCTTTTGTAAATATGTCTGAAGATTTTGTTACACTCAAAAGGAAAGAAGCCAAGCTGTTCCGGCAAGGGCGTAATCCTTTATCGTACATCTCCGTGGGCATCAAACGAATTAGCCATTCTGCCAGATCCCCTATGCCTGCCCCTGTCTGAATTCTGAGCTCATTGAGTACCAAGAGCAACCATGTAGAGAAATCCTTTATGTCAAGAGGCTGGCGGTGACCCTTGCCCACAATATCATCAATACTGAAGCTTTGTATCACTGGCAAAATCTTCATTAACAGCTGGCCTGCATCCTCCTGAAATCATAGAAAAAGATTAGAAATACAGTAGTAAGTCCTACTCTTCTTAAAGTATTTAAAAATTATTTAATCTTCCATGAATAAAGAATGTTAACACTTAATCCATTATGAACGTTATTAGTTTCAAAGTGAAAATATTCTTGTGCTTCTCTCCTATCACTTTCCTACCTTAGAATGCTTGCCAAGTAGTTATATACAGTATCTTTAATTTCTCTGGGCAACCACATAGTAGCTGAATAATGTGTGTGTGCCAGGCATATAAATATAGTTTTTAAGCAAATATGTGTATACGTTTCTCTGTGGTGTTTAGCAAATGCAGATACTATTTACTTGGCATGATATTAAATGAAGAGAGTGAGTTTCCAGAGGAAGAAAATGCATTTATGGAATAAGTAAGTAATTATCAAAAGAAGGCACCAAACCAGGAAGGCAATGTAGCACCATCAAATGTGCGGAATGATCAGAGGGCGCTAAATATCACCAAGGACGCCAATTTATGGAATAAGATTGATGTATGTTGGTTAATAAAATAACAAAAATAAATAAATAAAAATATAAAATAAAGTAACAAAATATTTAATATATATAGGGTGTGGTAGGAGAAGACAATATGTGAGTGTATGCGGGTGCCCCATAGGGCTCCCTTGTATGCTACATATCTTCTTCGAGGCCGAAGGACCCCCCCCCCTTGGTTAATTATATTTTCGCATTTAACTATCCACCAAAAAATGTAACTTACAAATTCTAATACATAAGAATGTTGCTTGGGGTCAGCTTCAATATTCATTGTCTCCTTGTTGAAAGTGATCAAGTACTCTGATAGGTCAACTGATATGGGTGTCATCCCGCATGATTCTCCCACTTTTGTCTTCACAAATTTTTCAAACTGCTTTGCCAGTCGTACAAAGCAATGTCTGCACACCTGCAAAATGGGGCTAATTTAATAAACCATAATTTTTAAAAATCTGTGTTTCTATATACATGTACATTTGTTCCAAACACGGTGACTCTCTTCAGATGTGCCACATACGGTCATAATGCATCCAAAATTTCAGTCAATAGAAAACAGTCATGGAGCTCAGTCGCTACATTGTCCTTGAGAATAACCTTTTAACTTGAGAAAGGTATGGTTACCCGAGAGTTAAAGGACTAGAGAACCTAAGGGAAGGGAATACATATAACTCTGCCATTAGCAAGATCAGCATACATAACCTGACTTGTATCCAGATGTACATCACACTAAACTCTTCCTCTCTTAATTATTCCATTTTCCCATGACTCACTTCATATACTGTACTAACTTCAATACCTATTGACTACCAACTGTAAATTGACTACCCAAATTTTGTATTTAAATTTATAAAATCTTCTATATGCATACCATGATCTAGCCTTCAGCTTTCTCTTTCTGATATACATTCCCACTCTCCTTCTCTACCTCTATACCACTTCCAGGTAAAAATAAACTTATTCTGTACTATGATAATATAAGAAAAATGTAAAAAATTAAAAAAATGTGAAACATGGAATGTCACACAAACCTTGCCATCATCGCGGTCCCGCTGTGAGAGTTCAATTTGATCAACACTGAGGGACACGCACACCCATCGTACTGGCACCATCAGTGTTGGGGGCTTTATATTTTCATCGATGTTGTGCCAAAACTCTCTCTGGACAGAATAATTACAGCCACACACCACACAACGGCCACTTATGCAAGACAGAGATGAATCAATTTCTTTATCACTTAAATTCTTGCCACCAGTGAGTTCTGTCTCTAACGATGGGTTACATACTTCTTTGGAATGTGAACACGATGGCTGGAGAGAATTAGATAATGAATTAAAAATATATTGTAATGGTGAGGAATATGCACCCGGACCAGACTGTAAAAGAGAAGTGTGACCGCTTGAGGTAATCCAATCTTGCGGTTTCTCGTGCATCGAGTGACTCGAGGAGTTGACTTCGGGAGATGCAGATGTTTGGTGATCCATATTTCCTTCAATTTTAACTGCTGATACTGCTTTTCCACCAAAAGCTTCATGAGGGAGCACAAACTTCAAATCTTTGAGCACTACAACAGCTTTAGGCTTTTTAGATTTCTGAATTACTTTCTTTGGTCTTTTATGTCTTTGTTTCAAACGTAACCGTCTGTTTGAGCAATTCACCCGAGGAGTTTCACCCCCACTATCATTCCACACACTATTATCATGACTCAAATAAGACTGATCATCTTTTGAAGAAGAAACATTGTTTTGGCTAGAGCCCTGGGTTTGACACTGTCTCGAGTTGATTTTTAGATCATAATCATCATCACTGACAATAAAATCTTCAATATCATCATCATCTATCTGTACATCCAAAATCTTTGGGCTCAATTTAATTTTCCTGCGACTTTTGGTAACATAAACAGCCTTTTGCAAGATGCTTCTCTGAGTCTCTTTGTGAAAAGCCTCATTTTCCATCCTTGCTATTTCATTATCATCCCCAATTTCTTTTTTCTTTACACCAAAGGCTTCACTAGCTTTTGTTGTACAATTCTTAATTCTTTTGCTTTTTCTCTGAATGTCCTCTGCATCACCATATTTTCTCTTTTGTCCTTTCCTATCACTGACTTCCATGTTTTCCTTTTCAAATTCCCCAGTTTTGTTGTTTCCTGCTCCGCATCTCTCCTCCAATGTTTCCTCAGCGTCCCCAGACTGACTTTCTAAAACAGACGGCAGTTCTTCCTTTGGCACCATCCGAACCTTCACCTTCGATAGATTTACTTGCGATGCATTTATATTTTTCTGCCGTGCAATCCTTTGTACAACTTGAGACCTGAAATGTAAAGGGATAATAAATATATATACAGAAATATAACTTAATTTGCAACTGAAAAATTTCAATGTTAATACAGTATTAACAAAGTCTGGTTTGGAAGGCTGTATGAGGATTCAAACATTTGTAAAATATTATATAACATTTAAGCTTCCTAAATAACAACTTTATTTGCAAAGATTTGTTTCCTTTGGGTGGGGAGAGGTGGGAAAGGGAAAAGCATGCAGGTGAATGAATGTTCAGAGCATTGTAAAAAATAAATGTTTCTCTCCCTATAGCATACTTATATGTACTTTGATATTATTTTCCTAACATTGAAAAATAAACCTTAAGGAGAAGAGCAGATGGTATGAGTAATACTTGGAAGCACACACCGAGGCGCAGCAGTGCCTCTTAACTACACTCGTGTACAAAATAGACTTGCTTTTTAAGTGCCCTAATATCCACCAGACAAGTTTGAATAACTATTATCAAAACAAAACAAGCAGAACATATATATAGCCTGTATAGGGCCATATTTATTAATTCTACATATTCTCTCACATCGTTTCTCTTTGCTCATTAACATTTGCATACCTCAACAAACACAAGACTAGTATACTTGTAAGAAATTACTAACCGAAAGCCTGCAGACACTTTGCCATAACATGGAGAGCAAACTTGTCGCGCATCACATGCTTCTTTACTGGAGTGGGCCAGTGAGGTCTCCAATAGCTAAATAAAAAAATAAATCAATTTAAATTCAATAAAGCTTAACCTTTTGCAGACATGTGACATGCTAGTACAGTATTTCGAAATACATCATAATGGTACCAAACATACTAGCACAGTATGCCTAGTGATTCTCCACTTTAGTCTAAATACAAATTCTATAACTTTCCTCCAAAAATGCTTGAGAAAAAATATTCAAAATAAAATACAGTATTGCAACAATCTATGGTGAGATCTACCAGAAAGCATGCCTGGCTGTTAATGTATATTAATTAAAACAAAATTAAATATACTGTATGTACACAGACGAGGAGTCACAATAATGTGGCTAAAGTATGTTGACCAGACCACACACTAGAAGGTGAAGGGACGACGACGTTTCGGTCCGTCCTGGACCATTCTCAAGTCGATTGTCAATATGTAACTATTTGTTAGGAGTTTCTCTTTGGATTAACATGGCATGTGCCTCTTTATCAGTTAAATAATTTGTATATACAGTACTATAGAGCAGTACATACATACAGTCCCTATTTGAAATATTCAATCCTGGGAAGGGAAACCAAGTTCCAATAACACTGTACCTATTTCAAGGTGGTTAATACATTCATAAAGAAAGACAAATCTGCTTCCAAGTATAGAGATATACAATGGCCACTCCCAAGCCTCCTCATTTATTAATTTTCTCCACACTCTGCATACATCTTGATATGGGCCTTGAGGGAAATCGAGCTACTTATTTCAAGACTTAGAATTTTATTACATTAAAAATTGTACTTCCAATGAACATAAACTATGGTCTCACTGAGCAGATCAATCAGCTACTCCCTAAGGTAGGCTCAAGTGTCCAAATGACTCGAATCGTGTCCTGTCAAGCAGAACAACATTGAGGCACTGGCATTATAGAAATCTATTCCAGTGGTCACTGCTCTAATGTCTGCCTTTCATTTTTATTGTCAATTTGCTTAATTTATATATATTTCAGTGTTAATTTCATTTTTAAAATGATATTGCTTGCAATTATGGCAAGTTGTGTATGGGAGAAAATGTTAAGTAGCATTCCTGCACTTTTGTGTAGCCTCTTCTTTGTGCATGAAACTGACATGTCACGCAATCACAGTAACATAAGTTTGGAACTCTACACACATCCAATACAGTACAAGAGCAACTTTCAACAAGTTCCCAAGGTGGAACCATTCTGAATGCAGTGACATCCAAACAAAGTGACTGGTATTATTACAGTGTGCCGTTGTGTGTGTGTGTCCTACACTGCTATACTCAACTGTATTACCTACACCAGTGAGAGGAATTCATGTCATATCTGATCATATGATCCCCTTGACAATTATAATTGGATCATTAGTTAAAAACTGGAAGCATGTTCTAACAAAGAAATAATGATAACTCAGGTGAAGGTGCAACATATTCAAATGAAAAATCATAGACTCATTGGTCATTGGACCAATGAAATTTGGTCCAATTTGAACCTGAAATTTGGAACGTAAGCATCATCAAAGCGACATAAACCATTTCATTAAACAAGTAAGCTTTTTATTTTAATACTGCCATTTATTTCACTGCATGCTCAGTTATATAAATCTTTCATTTGAGAGTTGAAACTGAGAAAAATGATTTATTGTTAATGAAATTGGCTTGTTGAGTAGCTAGATCTTTCAAAAACTGGGAGCCATGATAAAATTAATTTAAATCCAAGGGGTCCTTGGTGGTGAAAAGGTTGAGAACCACTGTGATACAGCAAATGAATGTTGAACATTTCAGTACCAAAACTATAGATTTAAGATCATTACTTCTAGGTAAATATTTATAATTACAGTAAAATGGAGACTTTGTGATCACAACACACTGCACCACTGCTTGAATCTAGCTACTAGCTACATGACGGAGGCTTGACCTCTTTCCATGTCCCAAGACAGCACCCGATGACAGATTAGATGACAATGACAGACAAATCTACCAGCATGGTAGATGTCTAAGCAAATTATTACAAAACATGGAAAACATGACCCAAGCAGGTTACATGAAGTAAAAAAAAAAAACAAATCTAACAAAAAAAGGTTTGCTCATAATTCAAAAGTAGGCAATACTGTACCTTGTACCTTAAACAAGTTAAAGTAAGTAATAGACACTAAAGAAAATGCAAGAGCTTGAATCTACTAACCTTCAAAGCCATTGAGACTGATATGCTCTCAAATCCAGACAATGGACTGTTAAGCATATACCACCAATCTTGGGGTTTTCCAGTGAAACTTATTGCACAAATGTTACAGATGCCAGTGTAATCCGACTCTGCAGCAGTCGTTATAGATCCATCCTGGCAATCCTTTCCTGTTTCGGGTGTTTTATCCGCCTTTTGTGTAGGTGATAGCGTTTCCAATTGCCTCTTGTCATCATTATGGTTTGAAGACAGATGATGATGCAACCTTTTGGGCAACATGACATTTTTCTTCGTACGTGGTATATTAGAGGCCTCATTTTGATTTTCTTCGGGCAATTCCTTGCTTCTGTCATCATCTTTTGCCGAGTCATCGCCATCACTTGGCGAGTTAATCACATCCATATCAATGAAATAGTTCCCATGCTCATCTTGTGATACATTTAATCCACTTTCTTCCTCCTCTGCCTCAGTTTCAGCTCCTTGCTCATCCATGTCTTCTTCTGGCACACTCTCAGACAAAGCCTTAGGGTCACTGCTACTACTGACATCTGTAACTGTGTTAACAGTTGCAGCGTCATCAACATCTCCATTCTTTTCAGCTCGAGACTCCAACTTGTTGGTATCATTTGATTTCTTGGACATACAATCACTAGTCAAAATCTTGTAACACTCAGCCAGTGCAGGAGGAAGAAGCTTGGCCTGAAATAAATAAATAACTGATAGTAATTTTGAAGAGACAGAACCTATAGCATTAGAGGAAGGAACAGAAAAAGTATTAAATAAAACTGAATTAGGGGTCGTGTTGGATATACTGTTCATTACGTATCAAAAATTCAATAGATAACTGTTTTGGGTACATAATTCGTATTACTTAAAAACAGATATCTTCTAGGTACATTTACAATGTACATTTGTAGAAGTGCTGTAAATTAAGGCTCTTTGACAAGGGATTTATACCAAGGCTGACATAAAATGATGACTCTCTGATTAAGACAGGTTCTAAAATGAAAAAAATTGAAATTAGCCACCGTCCCACCATTCAGCCTATTTCCATTCGGACAGCCTGAATATTTGATTTTGGGCCAACGCACCTCTTGGTTGATGAGCTGCTGTGCTTCCCCAACCCATTGCAAGAGGCACCACCAACTATTGTTTCATCGTTGGCGTGGACATCTAAAGTTTTTTTGTTTAAATTCCTTGCTATTTCACTGAAAAAAAATGAGCTCAAAATACAAGAAATGTGTCAATGATGGTTTTCCACTAGCAGCATATGAAAGAAGAAACCCATTAATTTTGTAGCAGAAATTATTGACGATTTTTTAGCAGAAATTTGAATTACTAAGAAGGTAGTGAGTGTGCAATGAATACACTGAGCAGGACAACACTTTAATATTTTGAAGGTAAAGAACGATACAGCAATGTAGACGATAAAAGTAGTCAGTCAGGCTAAAGTAAACAATGATACAATGTGGGAATGACACAAGCAGAGACAAGATAATGAAAGATAAACAAAAGAGTGCCAGATCATTGCTCAGAGAGAAGGGGGATGGATTTTTATTTGAAAATTAACCTTACTGACCAGTGTTTGAATAGTGATGGATGTCTAAGATACTAATATTGCTATAGTGTTACACAAGTAACAATATGCAGGAGGGAGGATTTTTTGATGGATTTTTTGCATCTCAGCCTAACTCCTTTATATAGAAGCATCAAATTCACCAAGTCCACCACAACAACTAATCCCTCTAAAAAAATTGACCTACCATTCCAAGATCATATGTGGAGCAGCATCTCAACCCTTGATGAGTACAATCATCATTTATACAAGGTTATGTTCAGGGCTTTCAATACCGAAGTGACTGAATGGTGGGTAATGACTTAAAATTCATTAGGTGCTTAATAAACAAATATATGTCTCATGAACTTACAATTTCTGCAGCATGCTCTTCTGTTGTTGCTCTGTGAATTGGATTGAGAGTACCTGCAGGCGCCATTGGCTCCGAGCAAGAGGATGACCCTTCAATTGATGTGCCTTTCATGAGCTTGTTTTTGTAATTCCGACGTATAATAACAAAACAGGGGTTGCACACAAAGCGTCTCCCTTTCATTTTGGGTTCAATGTGCCGAGCAAGACCCAGTTGCTGAAAAGATTTATTAACAAAAATATACTTTGCATTGGTGATAATGGGTGTAGTGGTAGTGATGATCATGAAGATGGTATGGTGGGTAGTAGTGGTGGATGGTGATACTGAAAGATGATAATTGTGGTTAGTAGTGGTAGCACTGGTGGTAGCAATATTTGTTGTTATTTTTTCAGTGAAACATATAAGCCATACCTTCAGGAATATCTTAAACAAACCTTAAACAATCATAAATAGGTGCATAAATTTATCCTACTAAAAATATGTTCATTCTTCAAGAAATAACCTATCCAAATAATCTGAAGCATTTTAAGTAAAGGTAACCACTGAATGATGAATAACAGGAGCAAATAAATCTTGATTGTTATGCTTTAATCTTTCTGGTACCACAAAAAAAATGAAAAAAAAAAAAAAATAATGGCATGAAGGGTGACACCGAATACAACACTTTTTTCCACACATACCTCCATCACCTGTGCAATATCAAGCTCGTCGTTGACTCTCTTCTTGAGGGGCAAGCGTTGGTAGCCTCTGTCTCGACTTTCGAAGTTGCTATCACACAGGATACAGTGTGTGTTGTGGTATGCATTACTCGCCCGCTTCTGCTCCAACAGCTTTGTCTTGGAGAGCTTAATGTTCTCACTTTTGACTGAATTATGCCAAACTTCTGGCTGTTGCACAGTCCATACACTTTGCTGTTTTACTGTTCCTGTTGCTTTCTGTTTCTTCTGATTTTGCCTTAATTGTCGTTTTCTTTGCTGAGCTCGGTGTTGTTTTTTAACTTGCTTTACTTTTGCCGCTTCTTCCTTTTGCTTTTTCTCATTTTCTAGGTAGCTTGGGGGTGAAATTATTATTAAAGTGAGAATTAAACTCGAGATCAGCATGTAGAGGGCAAAACTATACATAATTGTTTAATTACAAGAATAAAGGTAACTGCAAAATACATACTGACGATATGAGGCCACTCCTATCTACATGAAATCAAATTCCTTAATATATATATATTTAACTATGCTTCAAAAATCCAGCAATCCTATGTCTATTATTACCAAGTAATTTGTTTCATAGGTCAACAACCCTATTTCCAAACCAGTATTTACCCAGGTTCTTCCCGAATCTAAACTTATCCAAGTTAAATCAATCGTTTCCTGTACTATTTTGTGTTGATATTTTAAAACTTTATTTAAATTCCATGCCATTCGTCTTCATCCATTTATATACTTCAGTCATGTCACCCCCTTACTTTCCAACTTAGGATTTTTTAATCTCTCTTCATAAGGGAGGGGGCTAATTCCCGAGATTAACTGTGTCATCCTTGTCTGAATGTGTTGAAGTGAATTTATGTGCATTCTATAGTATGGAGACCAAACTGAACTGCATAATCTAAATAAGGCCTAATGAGAGCACGATAAATCTGAAAAATAATAATAAACAGTACTGTATATCTTATTGCTAAGAAATAATAATATACAGTACTGTATATCTTATTGCCAAGACTTCTAGAAGCAAACGCCAGTATACTATTTCCTTTATGACAAATTGATTTATTGATTTTTGTTTTTACTCAAGATACCTATTAATCATGACTCTGAGACCTTTTTTTTTGCATTCAGACTGTAAATTCACCATTGTCCAGCTGATATCTGGTAACTGTCATCATTTCCTAAGTTAAGAACTTTACATTTTTCAGTATTAAACAGCATCTACCAACCATTCATCCATTTTAAAAGCTTAATCTAGATCATCTTCCAGAGATTTTATGTCTTCTGATTTTTCACCCTTTTCCCACTATTTTTTTTATCATCTGCAAATCTGGAAATGTTCTTGCTCTATCCTGAGACTAAATCATTTATAAATATTGTGAACACCAGAGGTCCCAGGACAGAGCCATGTGTAAAATTTAGGTATTACATAGGGAAAAATTCAGCTTGATTCGCAGTCAACTGAGAAGTTATCTACACCAAGAATGTACTCTACTTACAACTACAGCTGGAAAAATTTATTAACTCTTATCATATTCACTTTTGTGCTACCATAATGTCATGTGTAGGTCTTCAATATGCATGTTGCAAATATGCAATATCTAATTTGAAGTCAGAGAAAATGATTAAACAAGTTGATTATACAAAGTATACAAAGTATACATAGTCATTCATTATGGATGAATGAATGAATGAGGAGGAACATGATGTTGACTAACAGTCATGAACTGAAATTGTTCTTATACTGTATAACTATTGTAACAATTTGTATTGCTTATGCCAAACACTAATCAACTTTTACACAACAGTATACCTGATATACTTAATATTTTGGCTTGATTTAGAAGCCAAAATCAGACCAGACCAGATGCCTCAAACCAATTAACAAGACTAATTTTAATGAAGTAACAGGTGCACTGATTTTAAGGCTATATACTGTATTTGTTTGTAACATATATAAATACAAAATATAATTCTCATTAACTCTAAATGCAATGATTAAGCTGTACCTTAGGAAGAAAAATAATATTAATTACTTGTATTAGTCTTATTTGTATTTACCTGCTATACTCTCCCACTATTATCTCATCACAGTCCCAACAGATGTAGCTATCATTCTTGGCGCTTTCTGGAAGACGTGTCAGTTGCAAGGCGTGCAAAGCGGTGATCACCTCAACATTAAACTCGCCCGAGCCTAGTTTTTTATACAACGGCTTGCCTTCCACAGCTTCACCGCATATCACACATTCGTCCGCCATCTTTGGTTGTCTTGGTGTTAAGTAACGTGAACTTAGTAAGAATTATGTACCTCTTGCATCTGTGGAAAGAACTACTCTATTTAGCATATACATATAAAATACAGCTCTACACAGTGCACCATAATATATATTACTTCCTGTGTCAATACCTTTGCAATAAGACATTTCCACAATAACATTATTTTAGGATGCATTATTATTACTCTCTTTCAAGTGTTTTAAACAAATCAATAAATAAAATAAATTAATCTGTTACAAAATTATTCAGGTCAGTTTCTCTCCTCACCAAGGATCAACTAAGTTTGAGAAAAGCTCAGATTTTGAGATGTTACTCAATGGAAAAAAAAAATAGCAAACTAATTGTTAAAGGGTATAAAGGGTTAAACAATAATGTTAGGAACTGAGATTTAATATTTATTATATCAATATTTCCTTTCTAAAAAAAAAATTCATAAATTATTTTCAAAAAATTACTAAATACAAATATAGACTATCAACTTTGAAACATTCAACAACTTTAGATATAAAATGAGTCCATTAAATAAAATATTTACTGTACAGTACTATCTTTAATCAATAAGTTTGTAAGAAATAAGAATTCTCCAAGCTGTGTCATAAAAAATGTGCGAACCATATACAGTTTTGATTTAAAGTCGCGTTTATGCGTAATTATAAACTACTAAACAAAAATGTATTCTTAATGAAGCTCTTAATTATGCTCAGTACTTCAAACAAAAAGTGATATCTAACCGCTACAAATGTTAAAGACTGTCACCCCAGCCTAAAACAGGCTTGCTAATGCTATGCCCGAAATGCTATGCGTACTAGTGGCTTTAGGTAAATAAATAAATAAATAAATGTTTATTCAGGTAAAGTACATACATACTAGAGGTTATACAAAAATTGATAGATTTATAGATAGAGCTAGTACATACAATGCCTAAAGCCACTATTACGCAAAGCATTTCGGGCAGAGATATATATAGGTATTGTATACAATAGATATAGGTATAAATACAATATAGGTATTGTATGTAATAGCTCTATCTGTAAATCCAACATTTTGTTTGTAAATCAACTATGTACTTTCATGAATAAAATGTACTTTACTTTACTAACCTAACACTTCCCTTATCAAGCCATCACCTAACCCAATCTAACTAGCTCAACAAGTCCAGTGAGACGAGAGCAGCTAGTGGTGGTGCCTGTGGTGGTGCCTGGTGGTGGTGCCTGTGTTGGTACCTGTGTTGGTGCCTGTGGTGGTGCCTGTGATGGTGCCTGATGCTGTTGCTACCTATGGTGGTACCTGTAATGGTGCCTGCTGCCTAGGGTCCCCTGTGTGGTGGGGCCCGCCACCACCACCATCACCCACCACTACACCTCACAACACCCTCACATCTCCCCCTCGTCTCCCCATGCCACCCCACACACCCCATCCCCCCCACCTCACACACACACACACCCACACCACCTGACGCCTCCACCCACTCCTCCAGGTATATAACACAAGCCCCAAAAAATCCTCTTTCGTCCATGTTGGAACAGTCTCATGTCGTCCCCTCCTTTGGCCCACGGAGACCCGAGCCAGCCCAGGGCGTGACAGCCTCCCCGGGAGGTAGTCCAGGCTGCAGGAGAGACTACTAGGGTGGTAGAAGGGGGAGAAGGAGGATACATACCCTGGCAGAGAGGGAGAAGAGGTGGAGGAGAGAGGGAAGACACACAGCCACCCCTACCAGCGTCTTGTCTCACAATAAACAAGGCAGTCGCCACTACAGCCCGTTGCCACCCGCCGCCACATTTAACCCACTTTATGCCCCTTTATTCCCCTTTATTCGCCCTTCTCCTCGGCCATAGCCATAGTTTCTAAGTCATTATAGCCGTGTATGGTACTACGCTAATAAGTTAGGGATATTGGAGTGTTTTTAAGTGTGCGTATGGGTGTTTGGTCTTGCTATACGCGTCAGGCAGTAACACACATATATTAAAAGTCTATGAGGCTATGCCAGATGGTGTATGATATATCTTGGGTAAATATTATGCAACATATTAATTCATTGTAATATCCTTTATAATTTAGCCACTAACAAAGGTTAATGGAGGAAGCTAGGCTAGGATTGTCCTTGGATTATATGTGGGTGCATTCATATTTGGAAAAAGTATTGTTTATTTGATAAAATATCTGATAATTAAAATAAAACATTGTAGGAGATTTATGTATATATAAAAAATAGCTCTCCTGCATTAACAAAAGATATCAGATCACGAAATCCCAAACAAAACATTGTTTGGGATATATCGTACGCAGACTTCTCGAGTGCGAACTGTCGTACCTCCCTTCCGTGATGTGGAACGTACACAAACGATTACTTATAAGTGACAAACGAGCACGCACGCGCGCACACACACACATACACACATAAACACACACTCACACACACACACACACACACACACACACACACACACACACACACACACACACACACACACACACACACACACACACACACACACACACACACACACACACACACACAACACACACATACACACACCACACACACATACACACACCACACACACATACACACACACACACACAACACACACACACACACAACACACACACACACACACAACACACACACACACACACACACACACACACATTGTGTTTGTGTGTATACACACACCTTTTTTATAATTAACAAGCTTAGGTATACAAAGCAATGTGCTGCTGCCCTATCCTATATGAAGAATTACAGAGTGCGGATCTAAAACTTCCTATAAGTTCATCTCTATACTATCCCCATCTTGCAGGATGGCTAATCATGCATGGAATCAGGAGAGAACATGAACTTCAAGGGGTACCCAGTTGCGTCCGGGTAATCACCTCGTAACTGCTATATTTATACCCATCCTTCTGGTGGTAGAGTAATAGGTTACAGGGGGAACGTACTAATAGGCTCAGGAACTGAACCCAAAAGTTCATTTGGTTAGGAGCAAGTTCCATTCTTGGTAAGCTAGTTACACATGTTAACAGTTTAATGAATATATCAACATATTAGATTCAAGAATTGGATCACAACAGTCTCAGAAAAGCACTTTATATTTGTGGTAAACTTGTTAAAATTTCTAGTGTCTATTTCATCTACATGCTTCGTACACAAGAATTGCAATTATGACGCTGAAGTGTTTTGTCTGATTGTGATAATCAAATAACTCACAACCATATAAGCCAATTAGATATTGCATATGCCTATTAAAATCAACCTGCAGGCGACGAGTCACAATAACGTGGCTAAATTCTCAAGTCACAATCGACTTGAGAATGGTCCAGGACGGACCGAAACGTCGTCGTCCCTTCACCTTCTAGTGTGTGGTCTGGTCAACATAAAATCAACCTGCCTGTTTATCTGTGACTTTTAGACTCACAATCGTATCAGCCTCTTGACCCGAATGAGAGACGGAAAGTCATAAATAGACAGGCAAGTAAGCCTAAACTAGTTGCGTAAATGTTGCGTCAGTGTGGCTTGCGTCATCGATCCCCTGCAACCCACATGTTCGAACACGTTGTGGCCAAGCAGTTGATTTGGCGGGAACTGAATCGTCCACACACACAGGGTTCATAACATACATTCTACACTAATACTATTTTAATTTCGCTTTATTGTTTATATTGCCATTATTAATATCATTATATATCATTTTTCATTTCAAACCCCCTTTTGTAAACTATATTAGTTCTGCACAGATCGACGAAGAGGGAAGTTGGTGTCTCGTGGTAATCACTTTACTCCGAGGACGAGCTGTCTAATTTTATTTAAGGGCTGCTAAAACACTAGTGGCTTCGACGAGGACAGGAAGCCGGCGGCTTGTCAAAGGTCTCCACCTATTTGTCCTGATGATTTATAAAGCTGAAATATGACACAAAGACAATTTTACATACTCTGTCAATGCTTATATTCGCTTGGGGTGAGGTGATACAAGACATGATTGAGATGAACAAGTGAATCAATTCACTTGATTCATTTGTTCATCTTCATTGAGATGAACAGGTGAATCAATTCACTTGTTCATCTCAATCATATCCTGTATCACCTCATCTCAATCATGTCTTGTGTCACCTCATCCCAAGCGACTATAAGCATTGACAGAGTATATAAAAATTGTCTTTGAAAATGTAAGAAGTGTCTTGCGAAACGCTTCTAGGTGCCAGACCATAAATAAAGTGTGAAAATGAACTTTGGAGAGTTAATTTGTCAACTACCCACGACAGTAAATGAAAATTGAGAAGAGTCTGTGTTAGAATCATTAATCTTACCCTTTCAGTCATATTCAACAACATATATTTACAAGAAAGACTGAAGATTGCTACCAAAATATACTAATATATATAAACTGGCTGCCTGTCCCACGACCTACGATACAGTGAATGATTAAATTATCATTTTATGTTCTCTTGTGATTCCATGTATCATCCTGTGAGAAGGGGATGAGATGAACTTATAGGTAGTTTTTTATATGTAATTTGTAATCGTTCATATATAATAAGGCAGCAACACATTGCTGTATATACATAAGCTTGTTAATAAAGAGAAAAATAATTAATACAAATATAGAAATCCTGACGTGTTCGAGTTTTTAATTATTATTATTATTATGTAATTCCTTAATAACCTGTTAATCTGCATCCAAGACTAATTACCTGAGCAGTTTCCTAATCAATTGTGAATTAAAATACAACAGAGTGTAAACTCTAAACCAAACATAACTAAATAATGGTAATTAAGGAGAATGAGAGGAAACGGACGATTTACAACCTTTTTTTAATTTGGTGAACATTTGCTATTATATTATATATATCAATATCCGATTACAATTTGATATTTTTGTTTGCATAAATTTAATCGTAAATATTTAATGGTTACTTTAAAAATAGAAAAGATGATGGCTAGTCACAATTTCCAAAGTTAGTGGCCCAAAATTATGAAATGTGTTTCCCGCGCACAACAACATGGCGGGTGAGTCGTGCTTGTGTCTGCCTTCTCGGGGCCCTAAAACCCACCCTGGACACACTAATACACCCTCGCGGGCTCCCCCACCACACCCTCACACTACGTATACATACTCGGTGCCAGATATAGTGGCACTTACAATGTATTCTGGCGGTTATCTAGGCAAGAGAATGGAGGGTGATTGTTTCTTTCAGGCGGGGTCTATAGGTCTCATCGTATCTATTTGTATTTTTTGAAATGGGGTCAAAATGGAAAGTTGTCTGGATGTAAGAGTTGTGGGTGATGTGGTTATGGGGTAAATTGGTGGAGGTACGGCATGGAGGGATCCGCAGGGGGTGTATCTTAATCTTGTAAGACGTATGACTGTTGACTTGTGGCTCCTCTTTGCCACTAAGAGTGTCAAAGAATCTGGTAATTATCTAAGTGTAGTTACAGGATGAGAGCTACGCTCGTGGTGTGTGTGTGTGTTTGCTCTGGATACCAGGCTCTCCAGTCCCTTAAAACCTTCTTCCTAAGTTGATCTGACCTCATCTCGCCTTTAATGTCTTGTCAGACTCGAAGTCGTCCTCGTAATTCAGAAGTGTTGTGTAATCGTCTATGCCTCTGGCAACACTAAGTATCGCCATTATTATTATTATTATTATTATTATTATTTTGCATTTATTTCTTATTTTCCATGTACGTTGTCATTTTGTAACGTCAGGAACGTTGTCATTGCCCGAAACACTTTGCGTACTAGTGGTTTTAGGTATTGTATGTACCAGCTCTTATCTATAAAACAATCGGAATGTTTGTAACTTCATCTATGTATGATTTTCCTAAATAAAATATTTTATTATTATTTGTTGGCTAGCTTCTCCTTTTATAGTATTAAGTGTTTTGCCGACTCGCCCTTTTAGTTAAATTTTTTTGTCTTATTTTATGTCTTGCCCGAAATGATTAGCATAAAAGTGGGTTTGTAGATTGTGTAACTTCAGTCACAACAATTGTACATTACTCCTAAGTTCCTCGTACAGAATTTCTCTTGAAAATGTAGGGTTTATACAAAAAAAATGTAGCTTGTGTGATGTTGGTCTTTTATAATTAAAGCTGGAACAATGCTAGCAGTTGTCGACTGCATCTTTGTTCAAACCTATCGTAAGCTAACCTAACATCTTTTAACATCTTTTTAAGGGAAGTTATGATTTTTTTATACACCTACAGTAGAAATTATATTAATATTTTTTTTCTTTTTATTGCAGATGTGACAGGAATAGTCAAAAACTCCCTGCAGTACTTTGTTATTGATAGTAATGATGCGTTGGAGTTCAAGCTGGGTAAGATTTTAATGTCATTGATTTTATTCCAGCGAATAACATGTCTTGCAATGCTGTACTGTTTATGCCTGTAGCAGCATTATCTAGAATAAGTGTGAAACATTAAAGTTTGTCTTAATATTTGGAGTAATTGCATGTTCTGGCATTATATCAAAATGTTATAGCTCCATTAACTGCTAAAATGTAAAGTTATGATTAATATAGCACCCACAAATTTTGATTAGCACACTTTTGTTACGCTGTTTTACTGTGTGTATACCTAAAAATGTGCACAATATAATTTTGAATGTAGGTTTCTTATCGATTAATAAGTATGAGGAAAAGTTTATTGGTTAATTATGTTGTAGTACGATCTTCGGCCGACATTGACGATGAGGAGACGTCATTCAAACCTGACATGTCTCACCAGGTGTATGGAGACAGGTGAGCTTCTGTCTGGTGTATGTACCACTGGTAGTGTTGTCCCATGTCATATTTTTGCGAATCTTTATCAAGCTTCTCTTTTGTGCGTACAGTGGTTTAGCCAGGTTCTAAAGTTGAGAGAAGTGGGTACATAAAAAGGTCCCATTACACGTTCCATATTTTAATTCATAATAATTTTTTTTACGTATTTAAAATAGAAATAGATGGGGGAGAGTTTTAAAGGAAGCACATACTGTATTTCGTATTTAAAATCAAAACGATTAAAAATTTTGTTTAAATTGAAATTATTAATCTATATTGTATTTATTACCAAAGCATAATAAAGGCATTTTATTGAATTAGTTTACATTTTAAATGTAGACAAAAAAAAAATAAAGCCACTCCCCCCCCCTCCCCTAACTACACCACTGTCAATGTGGAGCTTCTCATATTTTGAGCATGCAATTAGTATACCTTGTATATACAAGTTGAATTATACAGTACAGATCTAATTGTATCTTTTTAAGATTTTCCTCACCCTTTTTTAATATTATATTTATTAATTTTAAATTGCAGAATATACATTATCAATTAAAACATTTAAATTCTATAATTGATGCCATAATATATTGGATATTATTACAAATTTAAATTGGTACCGAGGTTGGTGAATTTTTGTTGATAATTAGCGTTCGTTGCAGTGAACAAATATTCGGATACAGTGGGCTGCGTATCAAGTTGTACTACAGTGCGTGTCGCCTCACAACATACCTGGCCCACACTTTTGCAGAGAAAGTTGATCCAGAAAAGTTTGAGGGTGTCGAGGTGTGTGTTTTGGATTTTTTTTTATGAAATCATAACCTGATGGATGCAAAGTAAATCCTAATCTGTTGCATGCATAGCAAAGCATCATTTCTTGCCGTCATAAACTCGGAGTAAATAAAAAAATACTGTGCATATAATTAAACTTGCTATTAGTTGTTACTGTATAATAATTTACCTGGAGTAGACTTCAAGAAACATTTATGTAACAAACATTTATTGTTAGCATTACTTTAATGTTAAGGTTTGTACCAAACCTTAACGTATTTGTGGGGAAACGCAGAGTAACATACATTAAATCTTTCATTTTGTGTACGGTATTAATAGATGAATATATTATGGAAAATGTTATATATTGCCATGTTTGTCAGAGTACTCATCATTCATGCTAAAGAAAGTGTGACATATCTACAAGATTTTGTCAAATTTGTCAAGCACTTGGCCATAATTAAGAGTTTCTGCCTTAATCTAATAGTTAACCCATTTGAAGTAAGGTCATTACCATTTGATAAAGGATAAAAATTGTACAGTACCTAAAGGCTCATTAGTAAAGTGTCATTATATAAAAGCCTAAACAAAGTTAGAATGAAATTTAAAGGAATGTCATTTGATGCTAGACCATTAATTTACATTAATTTTCAGCCGGATGAAGTAATAAAACCAATAGCAGAGCGGATTCCCCCAGGATACTTGACAAACCTGAATGATTTCACTGCAGCACTACAAAAGGATGCCTCTTTCAAACCTTTTGGTGAAATGAAAAGACGATTCAAATTAGATGGTAGGCAAATATTTGTCAGTTTTGTTTTATTATCAAGATGATTCTATAGTTCGGTTAGTTGCACAGTTAAATATTTCCTATTAAAGTTATTTGTAATGTGGTTGCAAATAATTCTTTAATCGTGTGTAGTTTGGTCACTTTTATATCCCTTGAATATCTTTATCACCACCATTTGTTTCATAATTATTTCAAGACTTTTTTCTTTAATAAAGAATAAAGTACTGTACTGGCATAACTATTGATTCTACTTTTGGAACATTAGAGCTTATATTTACTTGTCATTTTCTTGCAATGTATGTGTAACCAAATGACAAGAAGACAAAATGATAAGAACTATAATAGTCTAATGAAATTAAGCAACAGAGAACACGTCAGTATTGCTGTTGTAAACCCATGGATTGAATGTGTTAATTTCAACTAAAAATTCACCCATGCACATGGGAAGTTAAGTGTACCTGCATTCCAATAAATTCACATTCTCCAATTATGTACAGTACTTCGCAATCTAAGGCCTATCTGCATATACAGGTTAAATATATTTATGGAAGTACACTGAAATATTTTTAATTACAGTAACTTCTTTTTTTTTTTTTAATTCTGCAAAACCAGATTAGGTGGTTCACCCTGCCATTTCCCCCTCCCCCTACTATCGTAATGGATTCGATATCTGTAGCAATGAGGTACTAACCATATGCAAAGCAATTTGCATAGAGATATTTTGATAATCGGGGGTACACTGCATGTCATGGCTTCCCCCATTTTATTGTTGCATATTTATATCTGGTCCCTCCATTCAATAAATAGTTACACGTTGACATTGCATCTTGAGTCATTTGTGTATTAATTTAAAATGTTACTTTAGGGATATGTTTTATTTGTAAAAAGTAATCACTAATGCCTTGTTGAAAATAAAATACAGCAGTACAGTACAGTATCTGGTCCATCCACAAACATCTTGTAGAACCATGAATTTGCAGCAATCTTTTTAGTTTTCTATTAAATTTTTACAGTGGACGGGGAAGAAAAAACCTATGAAGTGTATCTGTGTGACATCTCAGCAACAGGATTTTTAGAATATCACGAGCGTATCCAGACATTTATATTGTGGTACATTGATGCTGCTTCCTATATAGATGTGGATGACGACAAGTGGAGATTTTTCCTAATGTAAGTTTTAATGCTTGGTGAAGACTTATTTAATACCTAATATACAGTACATTTGGCATTGGCAAATCAGGACAGTTGCTAGAATTGGAAAAAAATGCATGGTAATAATTTAGAAAAGGGGAAATATGGTAATTTGAATGAAGGAATAAATTTCTAGTGAAACATTTTTGCACATCAGGTTAGCATGTACACAGTTGAGCATGCAGAGTTTGTGTTTGTGTAATTTCATTGAGCATGTCACTGAGAGTTTGTGTTCCACAAGGAAGATTAGGTATAGTATTTGAAATGTGTAGGATGATTGTGATTGAGGCGAAGCCTTCATACATTTAATTTTTAAAGGGAACACATGTTATATTTGATAGGAATATTAAAATACAGTACTGATTTTTAAAGGCTTAAATCTAAGGTTAAAAGGCTTTTAATTCAAGGCATAAATATTTTTGTGTAATTTTTCTTAATCTATAACTGGCTAAATTTTTAAATATTTTCTTTCCTATTAGGTATGAAAAGTATGTAGTCAATGGCAGCCCTCAGTATGCATTTATGGGTTATACTACTGTGTACGAGTACTACGCTTACCCAGCCAACATTCGACCACGTATCTCACAGATGTTGGTTCTTCCACCATTCCAGAGATTAGGTTTAGGAGGAGAGATGTTGAACATAATATACGATAACTACAAAGATAATATTAAAGTTCTGGATATTACAGGTAAGACTTTTTTATTTTGTTTTTTATTTTGGCTTTTTATCTTGATAATTTGTATCTCTTCCAGACCCAGTTCCCATTTTTATTGGATAAGGAGACTGTTTGCAGGAACGAATGTGTAAAGAGATTAGGGGGAAGATAGATTTGACTACTATTATTATCTTGAGGTTATCTTGAGATGATTTCGGGGCTTTTTTTAGTGTCCCCGCGGCCCGGTCCTCGACCAGGCCTCCACCCCCAGGAAGCAGCCCGTGACAGCTGACTAACTCCCAGGTACCTATTTACTGCTAGGTAACAGGGGCATTCAGGGTGAAAGAAACTTTGCCCATTTGTTTCTGCCTCGTGCGGGAATCGAACCCGCGCCACAGAATTACGAATCCTGCGCGCTATCCACCAGGCTACGAGGCCCCCAATTAGGAAGATGGTATAATATTTATAGTGGCAGGGACCTAATATTTAAGATTTGATTATTAGAGATGTTGGGTTATGATTTAAGGTACATGGAGTTGATATAATAGTAAGTTGCAAGCGTAAGATAAGGAATTAGTGAGTTCTGGGTGAAGTTAGGAAAGAATGATTTTAATCAATTCATCATGTGTGAAAACCTATCTCATCGTAATGGAAATACAGTCTGAACAATTTTTTTCATATGATCAAGGTCGAGATGCTAGTGTAATCACTGTCATGGATAGTGTAATTTTAGTTTTATTGTAATATATTTTTGCATCAAATATAGAATTCTAAGGGAATGTAGTAAATTTAATGTAATTAAAATAAGCAGTGGTTATCTTGAGATGATTTGATTGATTGACAGTGTGAAATCAAACTTGCAACATCGAAGCCATAAGTGGCCTAGCCATAAACAGTTGCATAATCCTGCTCTTGAAAATGAGACACATTAGGCATATACAGCATTTAATACTGATACTATGCATTATAATGTGAAATAACTGACATCTCTCTGCAGTGGAAGACCCATCAGACAACTTTGCAAGATTAAGAGACTTTGTGGACAGTAAAAATTGCTTGAAATTGGAAAGTTTCCAGTCCAAAAAACTTCTACAAGGGTTTTCAGAAGCCATGGTGGAAGAGGCGAAGAAAAGGTTGAAACTTAATAAGGTAACAAGTGACAAACTAAAACTGTTGCTAGTGCATGGGGCAGCTTTATATTGTTCCCCTTATACAATTTTCATAATGTTTGATATGTAATTTTGCCGTTAGCAAGCATTTGTTTTCTTTTGAATTGCAGAATATCTGAATTGTTTACTGGTATATGCTCTAGTGATTAATGCAAGTCAGTTGGGGGTGTCCTTTTGTTCACAAATTTCTTCAATTTCAGCGTCAGGTACGAAGAGTTTATGAGATCCTGAGACTGCACGCGACTGACAGATCAGACAAGGAGGCCTATAGACAGTATAGGTTAGACATTAAGAATCGCCTCAATGTGCAGTACAAGGTATGGCTTTTCTTTTAAATAAACTAGCATATAGTAAGAACAGTGGTGGAGTCCTTCGAGTCTCCTTGTTCCATACATGTTTTTAACGTGATTTTTGTTGAATGTAGTTTTGTAGACCACTGACCAATCACTGCAGAGGAACCTCTCCCCCCCCCTTATGTTTCCTTGTTTTCTGAATTCTGTAATTATCCAGACATAACTTCAGTTCTTCATCCCTCTTATCTGTATGGAATCTCGGTGCTGTTCAGTGAAAATTAATTTCCTTGCCTAACCTTACCAAGAATGTCTATTCAAGCTATATTGCCACAGATAAAGTAAAATGTTGAAGAAATACAATGTTTAAACTGTAAACTTAAATAAATGTCTTGGAAAAAGCTGTGTGACATGAAGAGTGGAAGAATGTAACACTAAAATTGCACAGGATTATGTCTATGGCATATGCCAGCCCTCACTTGATGCACTGCTGTCTGTTAATGTCTGTCTCTGGGCCAAATTAGCACTCTGCCATCCTAAAAAAAATTAACATTTTATTTAGGCAAAGGTACAAACATTGGATACACACAGATTGATGGAGTCATAGGTAGAAAGGTATATCGCCTAAGGCCACTAATACACAGTGGTGGTGCGTTTCGGGCATACAGTATATGAAAGCCTATTAACTCTAGAATCCTAAATAACATTTGTTAAGCATGTGTGTGTGATTTTTGAATTTGTGTATTGTTGTGAAGTGAGAAATGTCTGCTGGGTGACTGAAGAGTGGTGGGGGATATGGGATGTGGTTGTTGCTGTCAACCAACTTTCCCGTATAATGAATATATCCACATTTTATATCGGTGCAAAAAACAAACTAGTTTTGCTTTGTCAGGAGCTATAATTAACATAAATTTTATATTGTGTACCAAGAGTAATGGTAATGGAGTTTTCATTGTCATCTGCTGGCAAGCTCCATCAGTAGTGGCCTCCATTAACCAGGTGTGCATATGGTTTTGGTTATATTAAGCCTTCCAAACTATTATAAACAAAGTATGACATATGCATGTGGTTATCTCATGCCACGGGTAAAAATGTGGCAAATTTGCATTATAAGAGTGTTTATTAATCCCCATAATTTATTTGGCTATGTTAGTTATAATTTTGATAAGCTAGTTCCAAAATTTAATATGATACAAAAAATGATATGTTTGTCTTGGCAGAAAGAGGACCGTGATATGGAGAAACTTAAGAAAGTGCTCAGACCTGAAGAGTTTGCTGCCACTATGACAGTCACCAGCAAAGATCAGCGTTTGGAGAGCTTGGAGCGTCAATATACAGAGCTTGAGGAGCATTATTTGCACGTCTTGGAGCGTTTGGCTTCTGCTGACCTCTCTTGACCACCTGGACGTGATCCTTTGGTTGACTGTTTTTGTTAACTCGTGTTAAATTGCAGTGCAGAGGTTCTTTTTCCCTTCCCCCTACTCCAAGTCCTGAAATCTTAAGAATACAAATATTTCATGAAAGTAAATAAATTTTCAGAACGGAGCTGTCAATTAATTGTTTTGTATCCTCTTGAGTATTATTATTTTTATATATATTTTTTTTAAATTGATGAAAATAAATGATTAGTTTTAGTTGAAATGTATGCAATGCATATAATTCGTTACGATAATTTTATGTACTGTATTTAGTACTCGAAATGGGATGATTTCAAGATCTTACCAAACACTGTAAGCAAGTTCTATTTCTACATCTCCAAATTATTGGCATAAATAGCAAATCATTATCCTTTTTACCTCTATAGTGGAAAAGGGGGAAATATTTTCCATCTTGTGATAACAATGATGACTGCCTTGAGCATGGACATCAAGTAATTATGTTTATGGAAGATGGCAAGTGAAATAATTGTTTTATTAGAGCCAGAGATATTAGAAAAAAAATACTAGTAATGAAAGATTGCACATAATGATAGTAAATAAAATGAAGACAATGTACCCAACATAGAGGCATTTAAATCATTATTGTGGTTATGTCAGAATTTGTTTATACATGTTATGCAATGAAGGAAAATTTAATGGTGACATATTTCATTCACGGTAAACTGAAGGGCTTAGGAAAGTTGCTGCTTTTTAGCAGGTTTTCAAAACTTTTCAGGTGATGTTTATGAGATCGGTCAATATATTGTACAATATTCAAGTTCTGTGTAAGATTCTGTATCTAAAATTGCTATATTTTTTAAAGTAATTTTTATTAATACAGTATTGGGTATCTGTAATTAGTAATCAGCCATATTCATTTCCTTGTGATGCCGAACAGCAAATATGTTTGACCTAATTATATTAACAAAAAAAAAAAGTTTTAGTTTTCTTACATCTCTTATATTTTGGTGCCGAGGCAATTTGAATTCGTCATAAATTTGTAAAAGTGGTATCTCTGATAAATGTATATACATCCATACAGAATTGTGTTTTGTATGCTGGTAACACAAAGGCGTAGAAAGCTCCACAAAAGGTGTATGGATTTGTGCTTAGAAAGGTCTGTTTACACCGTCATAAGCCAGTCTGCATTGCAAATGGGGAGAATGTACATAATACACTTAATTAAGCTACAGTATTCACTATAATTTAGATATTCAAAGAACAGTGTACCTACTTTTGCATCCAATGCAGGTTGCGATTTCTTCCCTCACCAGTCAGTAGGTAACTGTCATTGGTAGTTTTCCATGCATCATTTGTCATCCTCATTTTATTACCAGTAAATGTTTATATTGGAAAATAGTTTTCACTCGATCATTATTGTGTGAACACACGTCGCGGTGTGATGTGTTACCCTTGAAATTAACAGGAGTTCGAGAGACTGGTTACTTTATTTCCAGAGCCGTCCAGTTGGTTTTGTGTGCTTAAGTAGTTGTCATTTAAGTTAATGGTAAGAAATTACATGGTTTTGGAAGTATTGTGACTGTTATGACAGAGTGGTTCGAGCGGGAACTTGAGATTTCAAGAATGAAGGATTGATATCTAGTTCAAGCAACTGTATTTTAGGTAAGATTGTCATACATATAGCCTCTTGATTTATAGGGTAAGGACGTACATTTCAAAGAATGCAGTCGACAGGTTTTAAACTGCATCAGTTTTGGTTTTGTTTCTGGAAATTGTGTGTTATTTGGTAGCAAGAAAAAAGCGGAAGGATTTAGAGTATTCTATTGTCAAGTTAGTCGTCCCCACTTAACTTTTCTTTACCTTCAGGAAACTGGTACAGTTAACAGCAACTGGAAAGGTAGTACAAATAAAATATTTTATAAATTTTTTGACCTGTAGTTACTGTTGTCATAGTTATGTGTTTACTAAAGCAGATATACTTGTACTTAGCTTTCTGAAAAAAAAGGAGAGCAAATGATCAATTCCTCATAGTTTTAATGTGAACCGTTGGTATATTTTAAATGTGTTAAGATTGCACACTGTACAGGATGTTTGGGTAAAAAATGTAATAGGCACTAGAGAAATGCAAGTAAATGTGAATATACACCTAATATAATTTTTGCTAGAAGGGTTTTGAAAAGGCCAAATAATTTACCACCTAATGTAATGGTAATAAATTACATGGCTGTTTTATTAGTAACTACTCTGGCGGATATAATTTTATTTTTGAAGGGTTATATCCTTTAAATATCCTTTATTTATTTTTTTTAAAAATGAAATGACTTGTTTTTGTATTAAGCTATATATAATATACTGTATAGTAATTTTTATTTTTTGTTTTTAACATGAGAGCTCATACTTTACTATTTTTGTTAGTGCTTGAGATGACTTGCTTTCCAGTTGGTTAAAATAACAGATTTTCATGACATGTTTTGTGGAGATGTAGTTATACAATGGAAAATGCAGGCAACCAAGTACGGTGTCGTAAAAGCCATGCAAGCTGGCATCCATATACATTTGATTGCTTAAACTAATGTAACTTTAGAAATGTGTTTTGTCACTATGTATAAATTACTTCATATCACTGAAACTGAAATGTGAACAATAAATGGCTCATGGGAAGCAGGGAAGGCTGCAGTGGAAAAAGTTGAAGTTGTCAACAGGTACTGCAGTTAAAGCTTAAAAACCATGAAAATATTGAAGGGTATTTTATGTAGTCATTTAGTATAATGTTTGTGTCTATAAAGTACCCCTGTAATGTGATTGAAAGTTTATAATTTTTTAATAAATTGGTTATGGCCAGTTTAGTTGTGTGAATTTCATATCAGTGATATTACTGCATTTTATGCATGTGGTAAAAATTTTCTCCTTATTTTGGTAAGTTAAATATTGATAATACAAAGGTAATGATGTAAACTTGCATCCCCTAAACCGTGAGTATACTGGATGCAAGGCAAGATTGCCGGCTGTTTTTGCTAAGGAGCACGTGAAACCGACAAATATTGGTCACCCCTTCTTGCCTGGGGATTGCCATTAAAGAAAACTGCAAAAAAGAATTACCGTATTTAGTTTTATACCTTTCTAAAATCAAGATCTTTACCTTTGCTCTTTTCTGACAAAATGTACAAGAAAGCCGTTTTATCAGAAACGGGTTTGAATGAAGCCAAGGTACAGGACGGAAACCAGGACAGATGTCTGGAACCTGTTTCCACCACATAATGTACTCGGTTGAAGAGAGATGTATATTAAATAGCACTTTATTTTATTGACATTGAAAGGAAGTATGTTTTGAGTTAATTTGAGAGCAGTTCATGTTATAGTTCCCTTATATTTTTACTAAACAGGTTCATGTAGATAATTGGTACATTACAAATATTATTTTTTAATATCTTTCCTAATGTACTGGTATATTCAGAACCTTTGCTCTCTTAAGGATTTATATATATGATGTGAAAGTAAATACAAATGTTGGTATATTAGTTGCATACATATGTGTTGTACTTAAAAGCCAGAGTTGCTGAACAAGTTGAATTTTGTTTAAAATAATTGTTCAAAGATTTTTTACTTTTATTTTAATAATTTTGTTTGATTTAGTTTATTTTATTTTTTTATATGGCAAATGGATATAACCAAAATTTTCTAGTTGTTCCTCGGTACTGCCAAATATAGGTCAAACTAGGCCTAATAAAGGTAGCAATTCATGAAGCCACTATAATACTGTACAATGATTTACTATTAAGAGCCAATTAATTTTTGAAACATTTAAAAATCAATATTGCTTTGGTTATAAGGCAATGCAATTCTGGCCTACTTTGCCCAGTAATGCAGTTCTGGTTATTAGGTACAACATGTACATGTAGTATTATTTTTCTTTTGTTACACTTTCAGCAGTCATTGAAATTTTGTAATTGGTAGGTAAAATTTTACATAGCAAATGTGGTGGCAAGAGTTCTGTAGCACAGTGCAGGCGAGGGTTCGTACGACATGGCAGGTTGGAGGTGTTTCCTTTCACCTCGTGCCTCTATTTACTAAACAGTAAATAGGTACAGTATCCAAGAGTTAGGTGGATATTGTGGGTTACATCCTGAAGGCCAGTAGTAGGCCTAGGGGGGGGAATTAATTAGCCTAACAGGGTTTCTCTCTGACAATGGGATAAGTAGCACTGAAGTATTTTTGTTAAATTTAGAAGACCTGAGTGATATAATCATTATACAGTGGTTGGACAGATGGTATAATGAGTAAAGCTGATGGGTTAAATAAAGGCACAGATTTTGGATTGACAGTGAGGTGTGATTACTCGGCCACAGGGTCAGTGGTCAAGCTACTTTAAGGTAGCATATGATAATCTGCTGCGTTGTGGCAACTGGCTTTACAGTTCTGGAACTTACACACTAAAGCAAGAGAGTTTGTGGCATGGGGTTCACACTATTATCAATTCAAAACAGCTGATGATGTAGGGAATGCTTTGTCGTATAGTGTTACCCACTTTTCATGATGCTATACCTAAGCATACAAAATGTTTTTAAATTTCTAGTAATAGCAATTTGTTACAATTTGTTATTTGATAGAATGATTTATTCATGTAAAGTCTGAATTATTAGTGTGTATTTTGTAACTATATCCACATTAAAAATTTTATAACGTTCCTTGAGGATGAAAACTGCCCGAGTTCTATATTGCAATATCTTTAATGTTTATGCAACTGCTGAAATTGTCTTATGTTATGGATATATTACATCTTGTATCATGTATGTAGTTTTTCAATTAATCTGATTTAATAAGCTGGTGGTGATCCATATTTGTAGTTGATGTTGTGATTACTTGACAAGAGTTACAATAGTACAAAATGGAGCTGAGGCAACTAGCTGAAACATTTGCTGTGTCTTTAATGATATTAATAATATTGAATGTTAAACGAGCTTTTTGATTTTCTTTATGCTTAATTAAATTCTGCATGAACAAATCCACAAGGGCCGTGACAAGGATTCGAACCTACGTCCGGGAGCATCCCAGATGCTGCCTTAATCGACTGAGCTACGATATGGTCAGTGGATTCCCGCCCTTGTGGATTTGTTCATTTGATGCATCACGCTATTGTGATTTCTATGTGTAAATTCTGCATATTGGAGAACTGAGCAAGTTTGAGCAGCACTCGCTAACATGTTGGCTGAAGCCCCGTTGTAGTGATATTTGTTCATCTCCTTGACCCAACCTGCGGGAAGAGGCTCCAGAATGGCAAGAACGACAAAAATATTTATTGTGTCAAATGCACACCGAAATAATGTGGTACTTGCCGTCACAGAATGAGTATGGGGTGCACAATAAACTACCAGAGGAGTATGGGGTGCACAATAAACTACCAGAGGAGTATGGGGTGCACAATAAACTACCAGAGGATGAGTATGGGGTGCACAATAAACTACCAGAGGATGAGTATGGGGTGCACAATAAACTACCAGAGGAATATGGGGTGCACAATAAACTACCAGAGGATGAGTATGGGGTGCACAATAAACTACCAGAGGATGAGTATGGGGTGCACAATAAACTACCAGAGGATGGGTATGGGGTGCACAATATACTACCAGAGGATGGATATGGGGTGCATAATAAACTACCAGAGGATGGGTATGGGGTGCACAATAAACTACCAGAGGAGTATGGAGTGCACAATAAACTACCAGAGGATGAGTATGGGGTGCACAATAAACTACCAGAGGATGAGTATGGGGTGCACAATAAACTACCAGAGGATGGGTATGGGGTGCACAATAAACTACCAGATGATGGGTATGGGGTGCACAATAAGCTACCAGAGGAGTATGGGGTGCACAATAAACTACCAGAGGATGGGTATGGGGTGCACAATAAACTACCAGAGGATGAGTATGGGGTGCACAATAAACTACCAGAGGATGAGTATGGGGTGCACAATAAACTATCAGAGGATGAGTATGGGGTGCACAACAAACTACCAGAGGATGGGTATGGGGTGCACAATAAACTACCAGAGGATGAGTATGGGGTGCACAATAAACTACCAGAGGATGAGTATGGGGTGCACAATAAACTATCAGAGGATGAGTATGGGGTGCACAATAAACTACCAGAGGATGAGTATGGGGTGCACAATGAACTACCAGAGGATGAGTATGGGGTGCACAATAAACTATCAGAGGATGAGTATGGGGTGCACAATAAACTACCAGAGGATGAGTATGGGGTGCACAATAAACTACCAGAGGATGAGTATGGGGTGCACAATAAACTATCAGAGGATGAGTATGGGGTGCACAATAAACTACCAGAGGATGAGTATGGGGTGCACAATGAACTACCAGTGGATAAGTATGGGGTGCACAATAAACTACCAGTGGATAAGTATGGGGTGCACAATAAACTACCAGTGGATAAGTATGGGGTGCACAATAAACTACCAGTGGATAAGTATGGGGTGCACAATAAACTACCAGTGGATAAGTATGGGGTGCACAATAAACTACCAGTGGATAAGTATGGGGTGCACAATAAACTACCAGTGGATAAGTATGGGGTGCACAATAAACTACCAGTGGATAAGTATGGGGTGCACAATAAACTACCAGTGGATAAGTATGGGGTGCACAATAAACTGTCATGGGCTAAATATTTAAATTATATCTGGCAGACATGACAGGTACTTACCTAGTTGTATTCACCTAGTTGCTATACACGAAAAATATTAATTCATTTTATCTTTTTAAAAGCAAAATTTTGCATTTGTGCATTTTTTCACGCTTTCACCTTATACATATATATGTATATACATACTTGATACAACAATAACAAATATATATGTATATAATAATAATAGTTCCCATTACTATTGTTATTATAGAGGGCGCTGGAGGTGTGTACGAAGGAGTGTACGACCAGACGACCGAGGAATGTGGCGGGAACTGTGACCAGGTAGGGGGTGGTGACCCCCAGTGGTCGCGTGTCACGGGTCATAGGTTAACTCTTACTGCTTTACTATATACTACAGTGATTTATATTTGATATTAAGGTCAAAAAGCATGGTCACTAAAGGTTGGGAAGGAGGGGAGGAGGAGGTTGTGTTGTGTGGTCATTTCGTACCCGAGATATGGCGCCTAGGTAGATTAATTTTTTTGTGTGTTATTACTTATTTATTTATTTAATTTGTGTTAATTGGTCCATATCTGGGGAGTTATGGAGGCTCCGTGTCCACGTGTTTAATATGATGCCGCAGTGGACAATACCAAAGAGGCATTAGTTGATTTGTTTCTATTACCATATACCGATACTGAATGTATATATTGTTACATTTCAGACGGATGTCAGAGAAAGGATATTTGTTCAGGAAGATCATCTAGACATTGACAAATTAGAACTACGAAAACATGGATAAGTTTGTAATTCGCAAACCCAGAAATTCGCCATCATCAAGTCCTAAAAAAAAGGGCTCTTACTTAAAGCAAGCAACTATTGAGTCTCTCAAGGTGTTTTTTTCTATTTTCATTTAAATAAATTATATTTTAATTAAACATTCATGTAATTTATTTGTAGTACTATTTAATTTTGTTACAGGTTGTCAATCCTCCTTGTAATGTATATTTTGTATCTCTTAGGAGTGTATTTGAGCTCTACTTGCATGCACTTACTAGCACTTACATGCTAATGTATACTATAAGGTAAAGTTGCTGGTCTTTGAGGTATTTTTTGAGCTATGGCCCTGTGGTGTTGGTGCCAGAATGTCATCCTGTGTGACTGTACATTAATCAGATCTAATAACACTGGATGCTCTCTTACCTTAAGGAAGAACTGAATACGATGGATCAGAATTTTGTTTTCCATGTTGACTCTACTTATTATTTAATGAGAAATAAAGCAAATGAGAGGTGGTGTGCAGGTGCCTGCTTGTCAGTAATTACTCCCTGTTGTCACTGATAAGTGAGATCTAACTTTTTATGCCTCCTAGATTTTTATATCTAATGCTTTAATTACATCTCGGCATTAATATTTTCATCGTATATTTTCTTTACGTTGTGAACTGTGGATGGATTTGGGTTCAGCAACCTCTTATTTCAGTGCATTCCCCCTTATCAACCACCCCTATTCAGGAAAGGAGAACTTCGTTACATCTTTTGGTATTTAGTCGAAGAGGTGTAAGTTCTCATTCCCTGTATGGGTGGTTGGCAAGTGGAATGGACTGAAGGAAGCAGTTGTTGAAACCAATTCCATCCACAATGTTAAGAAAATATATGATGGAAACAATAACGTTGAGAGATGTAATTAGAGCATCAGGTATAAACGGTTAGTACGTGAGGCATGAAGCGCTAGATCTTCCTGCCCCTATAGTTACTGAGAGGTAAGTACCTGCACATTGGCTTCCAATCTCTTGGGCTTGACGGTAGAGCGACGGTCTCGCTACATGCAGGTCGGCGTTCAATCCCCGACTGTCCAGAATATTTTGTATTCTGTCCACTGTCTGATTTTGCAGAATAAAGTTGCATTGAATTAACGATTTCACTACAGTCAGTTGTACTGTAGGAAGTTAGTATTTTTGCTTGGTGTATTGAGGCAAACTTCACTCATCTTGGTATACTGTATACATTATCTTGCTTATGTGTGGCACCATTAGTCATAATGAATAAAAATTACTTGCAAGAAGTTATCATGAAGAGAAAATGCAGCAACATCCTACTGTGGTTGCATGCAAAATGGCAACACTAGGAACGCGTACAGTACTGTATTTGTTGATCAAGATGCGACTTAAAAATTGTTTGTATTATTTGTACATTGTTTTGGTTTATATTGGAGTTAAAAAAATTGAAATTTGTCACTATATACTGGGTTGCAGGATGTTCTAAGGGTATGAAGTACGAAAAAAATTACAAATTACATTAAGCTTTGTTCCCTTTGTACAATCTCATGCATTTTCAAAAATTATATTCCTGAATTCTCCATTAGTATTTACAGTACATGGTATATACACACACAAGGTTAAAATTAAGTTTGACTCAAAAGTACTGCACAGTACTGTACTTTTGAGTCAAACTTAATTTTAGCCTTGTGTGTGTATACCATGTACTGTAAATACTAATGGAGAATTCAGGAATATAATTTTTGAAAATGCATGAGATTGTACAAAGGGAACAAAGCTTAATGTAATTTGTAATTTTTTTCTTTTGAGTTAACGTAAATCCAAGTTGGTGTTATGTCAATGCTGAAGTACACAATAAATGCATGATTTTTTTGTGACATTTATTAGGAAATGCTTGATACTACCTAGATTTAGAAAATTATACATAATTTTGTGACCATGTAGGTTATATAGCTATTAAAATATGCAAAATATATTTGTCAATTTCAGTATGGATGTATTTCCAGGGTGTTGTAGTAATAGAGGAGCTGGAAAGAGCCAGGGTAGTTTTGGAACGCAGCGACACTTCCAGCGAGCTGAAAGTTGACACTCTACAACACTTGAAGCGCAAGAGGCCAGCTAAAGAAGTTCTCATTAAAACACAACTAGGTTAGTTCCTTGAACCCTTGCACTGTCTGCTCCAAGTGTACAAACAGATGAATGGGCATAATAAGGTGAATAAACAAAGTCTTACATATATTGACTCAAAATAGAGCACAAAACAATGGATATAAATTGAATAGGTTTAGATTAAGGAAAGACCTCGGGTAGATACTGGTTTGGAAACAAGGTTGTTGATTTGCAAAACAGATTACCAGGTAACATAATACCCTGTACACAGGATCTCTCGATTGTTTCAAGTGTAGGTTAGACATGCATGTTGTGAATGATTTTGGGTGGATATAATTAGCTGCTGCCATGTATGAGCCAATAAAAATTCTTAAAGTATTTTTTTTAATTCTTCTGTGCTTCATCTCCATGTAATTTTTTCCTATTTGATTTGTGAACTAATATTTTTAGTCAAGTGTATCTTGACGTAGTAGATTTAAATAGCTGTGCAGTCCAGGGGTTAAAGCTATACACACAGCATGCTGAAATTGGAAACCTCTAAAAATGACTAAAGTTACTCCTTAGTGTCAGAAGTTATAGAAGTTTTAATTCAGATTTTAAATGATTTACTTTTCTATGCTATATTCAGTTTAATTTATTTTAAATATACTGTATTTCAGGTAAAACTGTTCATAAATTGTGTAAGTCGAAGGATGCAGATGTGGCAGAGGCAGCAAAAGAGGTCTACAGCCTGTGGAAGGAGCATGTGCTCAGTAAAGTTAACAGACCATTGATAGAAGTCAGATGTGATGCCAAGACACAAAGTTTCCGCAACACTGCACGGCGAATGTTACTAGATGCACTCAAGAAATCTGAGGGTGAAGAGTATTCAGGGGCACAAAAAGAGCCACAAAGAGAAAAGACTGAAAAGAATGAAGGCAAATGTACAGAAAAGACAGTGGAAAATAATAAAAAGAAAATGTGTGAAGGCACAAGTGACTCCATTGAAGTGCTTGCAGAGTACATAGAGAGAGATGTTTATCAGGCGACTCGGAGGTTAGTCAGTAATGCTTACCGTCGTACCATCAGGAAACTTGTATTTACTTTGAGACACCAGTGTGATGTGAGACAGTCAGTAATTTCATCAACATTACCTGTTGCAGAGCTAGTGAAACAGCACCTAAAGAGTTGATCATTGCTTCATACATTATAAGCGTTATGACGTTGGGTACATGTTTCCCTAGGGGTACGCAAGGGGAGGATCTTTCAGGTACACAATAATTCTAAAAGTTACTGATACCTTGAAGTTTATGTAAAGCCAATATGTAGAAGGCATCCCATATGTGGGGTATACATACCCCTTAGGACCTAAGGGTATGCGTATGCCTGTCGTGTACCTGTCAATGATTCTGAGAATCAATGTCCCGCTGCCCAGTCTTAGCAGGCCTCCTGGTCATCGCTTTTATTTAAATTCCTTACCATTAGCATTTGCTCTAAGCTATACATATGGTTAATGAAGCATTTATGGAAAATTCTAATTTAATTTTATTTAACTTATTTACTTTTTTAATCAGTGTTTGTTTTTTAAGTGCTTAAAATAACTTTAGCTCTAATATCAACCTGTCCTCTTGCATAACATTTCGTATTTTGATGTAAAAATTCCCGATGTCAAAGTAAGATGTGTCAAAACTCATAGTGGCTCGCATTAATGTGATGTCCCATTTTTTATTTGTGGGTACTTGCTTAGGGCTGGGCAATTTAATACCTGTACATCATTTTATGATGTGAACACTCGAGAGGATCGGCTGCTAGTACTGAGAGCAGGAATTGATGTGTATTACTTTTACGTAAAAAATATCTCCAAAACATTGATCATTACTTGCTCATTGTTTAGTCTGAAAAGGCCTCAGTTTATATTTTAAGTTAGATTTAGAAACCTTAACAAAGGAATGTATTTTTATTTCTGGACAATAACATAAGTGCGAGAGAATGTCAATTTTAAAATATAAGTTTTTTAAACCATAAATATATTGCCCTACGTTTCAATAACCTTTCCATAAACACTTTCAGAAGTTTGGTAATTTGTTGTAGCAAAACTCACTATAAGCTAAACGAACTTGCTTAGTGGAACATATCTTAAAAAGATAATTTCACTCCTTAAATTTTAAAGTCTCTGAGCAATTTTTTTATACATTGCTATCTGTTGTATAGTGAGGTAAATCTTATTAACATTTAAAGACAGTCAGTGCTGGCTAATCATTTACATTTTCAAAGCATATAAATCAAAACTCAACACATTAGGATATGAAGCATCATCATGAAAAATGTAATAATATAAAGAATGAAGTAAAAACCTTTTAAGTAAAAAGTTTTATTTAATTTTATTGGAAATAAAACGTCACATAAACAGGAAGTCACAACAGATGGCACAATAACTTCTGGGGTGGGCGTGGTCATGGAATACAGTATGTAGGTAAGTTATTACACAAGTTATAAGCTGTCTAGAAAAGTGTATTACCTTCACTGATATATTCTTGAGTGTTTATGGTGCAACACCAATACTCGTCGCTAGTTTGTAGATGTGCAAAATCTAGTTTATGTAGACAACATGATGTCTGTCTAGCTTATTGAGGTTCTCCTAGGACAAAAGCTGGCCTTCAGCAGAATGCAACCCACAACAGTTGTCTAACTCCCAGAGGCATCAGGTGTAAGGGAACTTGCCCAAACTGGACTAACAATTCAATATGTTCTCAGCAAGGAGGCAGTGTTGTTTACACAGTTCAAGTCTGTTCCAGAAGTAAAGCTGTATCCTCTGGCTTGTGAACAAATCCAATTGGCCATAAATATCCAGTCACATGACATGGATAGACCTTCCTGTCTTGCTCGATTTGTTGAAGTGATTCTAGATACGATTGGCGTGACTTGTAAATATATTTCTAGTCTTACAATGTGAGAGGGAAACTTGTCTGGGCTGGGATCCTGGTCCATAACAAAATACTGCACTGCATTGGTTCAATTTCCATATCTTGATTATTGTTGTAAAAGAATAATGTATATGCAAATTACTTTAAAGGCTAAAATCTGTTACAGTATTTAAATTTTGCACTTGTCCTGTAAATAAAAAAAAAAGTGAAAAAAAATAGACTTTTAAGATTGTTTAAACAAGTTAGTGTTGGTGAGGTTCACATTTTACTTTCCAGGGTTTGAGCAGGCAGCCCACTACTCACCAAGTGGTAAAGTGAGAGGTAACTTGCCAGGTAATAATGTAATAAATGGCCTACCAGTAGCAGTAAGCTCCTCAGGCAACACCAACATTATTCCCAAGGATCATCCAGACCCCAAAAGGTAACAAGTAAAAACTAACTCAATATTTAACAAAGCATCAAATAATAAACAATTAACATTTAATTCATCAGGAAACAAAATAGTAGTACATTGCCACGTATTTATAGTTAACTCACCAGGTAAAATTGTTTAGAATTATTACATGTTAACAAAACAATTATAACAAAGTAACAGCTAACACATTACCATCTAGTAACAATAATTAATCATCATCTCTTGGATCATATATATATATACACATACACATATACATATACTGTAACTCCACACCTTAGAAGGATTCACAACCAAACAGCCAGGAGCACTATGCACCTTGGTATACCTGGTACCTTAACCACTAGACCACACTGATTGTACAAAAATCTTGGTAGTCGTGAGACCAAATATCCAAGATCCGACAGTGCTCGGTGGTCAACTTGGGCATAGATATTTCATCGAATCACCTCACTTGGTGGGGCCACATGAGCAACACAAATGCGAACAAGCTTGAATGGGTCCCAAGCCAATATGCAACTAAAAAAAAACTGTCGGGAAGGGAAGGGAATTACCAGGAGAAAGTGGCAGAAGAAGATAAAGATTAAGCCACCCAAGAGGTGGCACGGGCATGAATAGCCCGTAAGAGAAAGTGGCAAGTCATCACGACCATATATCACTGGGAAGGGATCAGGATAAGGATTTGGGATAGGACGGGGGGAAGGAATGGTGAACGACGGCCCCATGAAGCAAGACCGTCACTCTACCGTCCAGCCTAAATGGTTGGGAAGGAGACTAGAGGAAAAGTACAGTGTGAAGGAAAAGAAAGACCAGTGGAACAGTAGAGCCTGGATGGAAGAAGAATGCAAACAATCCGTGATAGAAATGTTTGGGCACGTTTTCTCTCACATAATGCCCCTGTACACCCAGCAGTAAATAGGTACCCGGGAGTTAGGTATCTCTTGTGGGGTTGCATCCTGGGAAGGGTCAGTTGCTCGACCTTGGGGGGGGGGGATAACATAGATACAAGCCTAAAGTATATATATGTAGGTTTCCTGTCCCTGACAAAATTAATTATTAATCTGCAGGGATTGGAACAGAGCAGGTAACATTCCACATCACTATTTCTTATCCCTCATCCTTCCTACCTCATCTCCATCGTTTGTAAAAGTCTTGCTTATCATATTTTCTTACATTTATTCGTATGTCAACATGGTATAATTGTACTCATTTTAAGCGTCTGCGGGTTTAATTGTTGTGTTTGTTTAAGATAACGTAGGATAAGGCTGGTTAGATTAGCCAGTTAGGTTAGGCAGTGTTTGGTGTTGACTCGAGAGGTCTGTCAACCACAAGAGGGTTAATTAAGGCCGTGACGCTACAGCCAGGACTAAAGTAAAGTTCAGTCCAGGACTAAAGTAAATTCACAGTGTACACCGACAAATAGAGTACAGTACATCTCATGGTGTATATATATTCGTTTCCTGGTTAGGCCAATAGGCCTGACCCTGATGGCATCACTATATACATTTGGAAAAGGGGCAAACAGTTGGTGTGGGACTACACATGTGCATCCACCCTGGCTGACACCTATGTACACTTAGGTGCTGATCAAGCAGGTGGGGCGGCCAACCACAGGGAAACAGCAAAATCACTCAAGTACAGGCGACTGGAAGGTCAATACACCTTTGTTCCCATAGCATCTGAGACGCATGGCCCCTGGGGCAAGAGTGCCTTGGGGTTTCTCAGGGAATTGGGCTCCAAGCTCATTGACGTCACCGGAGAACCAAGGGCTGCCAGTTTTTTGTTTCAGCGCCTCAGTGTGGCGATCCAGAGGGGAAACGCCTGCTGCGTCCTCGGTTCCTGCCCGGAAGCGGAGGAGCTTCAAGAGATCCATAACCTCTAAGCATTTTTTGTACCAACCAATGTATATCTTGTAACCTTTAAATACAAATAAATAAATAAATATATATATTATATATATAAATATATATAAATATATATTATATATATATAATTTTTTTGCACCAGAAGTGGTATATATATATGTATATTTAAAATAAAGCAGTTTGTTACCGATGTTTATAACATGTTTTGCACTGATGTTTCTGCGGGTTTCTAACTGACTGATGTGACCAATTATGGGGACTACCGATATATCTGTAACATCATTTTGTTATGGGTAACGAAAACATTTATAGGTTTAACATTTCTACAAGGTGTCCTGTGCGTATACTGTGTCCTCACGTAACAATATTATTTTTTAACTTATTTCAAGTAGGCATAAAACGTAATGTAAGAGATCAAAGTTTTGATAACTTTGACAATCGCTTCGGTATTTCCGGAAAGCTATCGTCTCCCCCGTGGAATTCAGTATTCCCATTTTCTTTTTCAACTGTCAGTTGAACTATTTTTTTAGTTAGTCCGACCAATTAAGCGCCAAACTTTCATCTTCCAGCTATGAAGGGTCGTATTCAGGCAACTCGTCCTCCAGAATAATATATAACATTTTTGACGTATAAATTCCCCCACAAGACCAAAATTTGATATATTAAAAATCATAGCCGCTTGCAAAAGTGACACGATGTTCCGTTTTCTATTCGTGGGTGCTCGGTTAAGGTTAGGTTCGGGTAATGGAATACATCAGTTTTACGTTGACGTTGGGAGCCCTCGAGAGGACAGGCTGATTTACAGGAGACATTGCTGATGTTACATAAACTCTGATAGGTCCGTGACAGCGAAATCTATCCTTTATATAAACTAATCGGTCCGTGATAGCCTATCTCCTATCCTTTCTTTATGTAAACTGACTGGTATGTGATAGCCATTCGGAAGTGTATATGAACTCTGGTTCGTGATAGCCAATCCAATCCTTGTTTACATATTCTCTGATTGACCCACTCTGACACAATCAATCAATCCCAATTTTTTTTTACGGAAATTCTGATTGGTCCTCCTGCTCATGACAGGCAAAAACCTCTTTCCTGTTTAGGTAAATATTGGCAGCGCGGAAGGTTTAGAGACTTAGCAAGACTTTAACCAGTTTTATCCAAGGCTTTTACACTCGACTTTCTTTTGTGTTTGGTACCAAGAGGGAGTGGAGGAAGCTTAACAGTGTGGAGAGGAGGATGCAGCTTTATTTTTATATGAAACTAGATTGTGTAAAATATTGTGTGTGAGGAAATTTTTAGTTGATTAGTTTAATTAATTCAGACGAGGAGCCATATTCACAAAGCAGTTACGCAAGTACTTACGAACGTGTACATCGTTCCTCAATCTTTGATGGCTTTGGTTACATTTATTAAACAGTTTACAAGCATGAAAACTTGCCAATCAACTGTTGTTATTGTTATAAACAGCCTCCTGGTGCTCCGGAGCTCATTAACTGTTTAATAATTTGTAAACAAAGCTGCCAAAGATTGAGAAAAGATGTACAGGTTCGTAAGTGTTCGCTTAACTTCTTCGTGAATCTATCCCCAGGAGTCACAATAACGTGGCTGAAATATATTGACCAGACCACACACTAGAAAGTGAAGGGACGACGACGTTTCGGTTCGTCCTGGACCATTCTCACAATCGACTTGAGAATGGTCCAAGACGGACCGAAATGTCGTCGTCCCTTCACTTTCTAGTGTGTGGTTTGGTCAATATAGTTTAATTAATGGTGTGTCAGTGCGGAAAGTTTCATACGGGTTAGGCAAAATATTTACAACTTT